GGCAGCATGTGGTGCTACCCCGTTGTCATGCCCAGCATCACACATGACACTGCACATCCCGCTCTGCAAATCATTAAAAAACCCTCAACCTTAATTACCAAGGTGGAAAAAAGCTTGGCAGGATTTTCTCCTGAGTGAGGTGGGTGGGGGAAAAGCCATTTGCACAGTTGCAACGTTCTGCTGCCACACTGACCCTGAAAATACCACGTTTTGTTCGAGAGCCCTTTGGACGTGGTGGCTGAAGCACGTTGCAGAGAGGGGAAGGGAGCAGGACCCTGGGCTCCACAGGGAGCCCAGCAACGAATCCCGTAGGGTTAGGACCAAACCTTTAGAGTAGTTATGTCCCATTCAACCCAGCCCTTGGTGAAGTCAATGGGTCTCCATTGACTTTGGGCATCGTTTCGTGACAACGGACCCAGCCAAATTAGGGTAGTTTTCTCCATTTGTTTCTTAACCTGCTGCGAGGTGGGGTCGGAGCCCTGGCTTTGAAGCCGCTGCATCGGCAGCCAATTCGCAGGGATGTTTTGTGTGTTTCAAAGTCTATGACTGTTCTTAAAGAGAAGTACTTTTAATTTTTTTTCCCATTTGTAGAAGGAAGGACAAGAGTAATCTGTGGCAAACTGTACAGTACGTGTCTTCTTGTGGTGTCACTGTTTGAATGGTTATTAAGTTTTCAAATCACTGTGGACAGCTAATCACTTAAGTTATTAATTTATTCTTCGGGGTTTTGTTGTTTGGTTTTTTTTAAGTAATTTGAAACAATTATTTATCCTGTAAATTGGTCTTGAGTGAAGCCTAGATAATACTTTTTTTGCTGTTAATAAACATGGTACATGCCTGACATGAAGGTGATCTCATTTTTAAGTACTGTATATGCAGCCGGAAAGCAATGGAAAAGTAAAAGAATGATAATAAAAAGACATCTCTCACTGGTGACTCCCAGCACGGATTCGGAGTGGGGAGAGAAAGGAGGAATTAATGACTGGATCAAGCTGAATTATGCAGCACCTTTAAAGCTTTCAGAGCATCTTCCCAGCATGCCACCAAATATCTCCTACTGCTTCAGGTGTCCCGTCTGTGCAATGAGGGCCTTTAGGATGCAGTTAGGGCTTTTCCTGATACCAGAACACAAACCGTTCAGCTGCTAAAGTGAATTTCATACTATATATCTGCTCCAGGGATACACTTCGGTGTGTGCAGGGTGAGGACGAATTCTGTCTCAGCACCTGTGCGCCCCAGCTCAGGACACCAAATCACCCATAAAACCTAAGCACAAGAACAAATCTTTTTCACCAGAGTTAAACATTCAACCCACCCTCCCCACTTCAAGACACTTATATCTACTTTATAAAAAAAGACACCTGGGGAAAGGCACCTCCCTACAGCACGGACCGTGTAACCCCCTTTTTTAGACAACGGTAGCATTACCTCATATCTGCAGCACATCTGGGATCCCAAACCTGGAGTGACAGACTCCACTGCGGGCTCTCCTTGGCCAGAGGCATGTGTGACACTACGGGCCATACTATTATATACACTATAGCATATACTTTACCAATATACCGTATACAAATACTACTGCTATTACTAACACTAGTATCAATATAGCATGCACTACAATTGGTACAGCATAGATAGGAACATGCTATACTAACGCTATACTACACTTCTGTAAGGCCTTTGATATGGTCCCCTATAACATTCTTACCTCTAAAATGGAGAAATATGGGTTTTATGAATGGACCATTAGATGGATAAGGAATTGGCTGAATGGCCATTTCAAAAGAGTTACAGTCAACAGCTCAGTGCCCAAGTGGAAACCAGTAGCAAGGGTTGTGCCTCAAGGGTGTGTACTGGGACCAATACAATCTAATATCATCAGTGACATAGTGAGGTCAAGCGCACCCTCAGCAAGTTTGCAGATGACACCAAGCTGAGTGGTGCGGTTGACACACCTGAGGGACGGGATGTCATCCAGAGAGACCTGGATGAGCTCAAGGAATGGGCCCAGGTTGAACCTCATGAGGTTCAAGAAGGCCAAGGGCAGGGTCCTGCACCTGGGTCGGGGCAACCCCTGGTATCAGCACAGGCTGGGGGATGAAGGGATGGAGAGCAGCCCTGCCAAGAAGGACTTGGGGGTCCTGGTGGGTGAAAAGCTGGACAGGAGCTGGCAATGTGCGCTCGCAGCCCAGAAGGCCAACCGTGTCCTGGGCTGCCCCCAAAGCCGCGTGGCCAGCAGGGCGAGGGATGGGATTCTGCCCCTCTGCCCCGCTCTGGGGAGACCCCCCTGCAGGGCTGCGTCCAGCTCTGGAGCCCTCGGCACAGGAGAGACATGGACCTGCTGGAGCGGGGCCAGAGGAGGCCCCAGCAATGCTCCGAGGGCTGGAACAGCTCTGCTGGGAGGACAGGCTGGGAGAGCTGGGGGGGCTCAGCCTGGAGGAGAGAAGGGTCCGGGGAGACCTTCTTGCAGCTGCCAGGGCTGAGAGGGGCTGATAGGAAAGATGGGGACAGACTTTTTAGCAGGGCCTGTTGCGACAGGACAGGGGGCATCAGTTTTAAACTAAAAGATAGACTAGATCTAAGGAAGAAATTTTTGACAACGAGGGTGGTGAAACCCTGGCCCAGGTTGCCCAGAGGTGGTCGATGCCCCATCCCTGGAAACATCCCAGGTCAGGTTGGACGGGGCTCTGAGCAACCTGCTCTGGTTGGAGATGTCCCTGCTCATGGCAGGGGGTTGGACTAGATGGCCTTGAAAGGTCTCTTCCAACCCAAAATTTTCTATGATTCTATGATTTTACTGTCTGCTGTCAGGTTATTTCATCTGCATTTGGAGGGTGCCCAGGTCCGGGCTGGGGTCCCACCTCTGGCTGCTCCCCTCTGCAAAGCCACCACTCTGCAAGGCTGTCCCAGGTCCATGAGGTTGTGGCGGGTTGACCTTGCTGGACACCAAGCTGCTTGATCACTCCCCTCCTCAGCAAGACAGAGGGGAGAAATTAAGATGGAAGAAAACCCTGTGGGTCAAGATAAAGGCAGTTTAATAAAGCAAAACCAAAGGCCACGCATGGAAGCAAAGGAGAACAAAAGATTTATTCTCTACTTCCCATCAGGGGTGATGTCCAGCCACTGCCCGGGAAGCAGGGCTTCAGTACGCATAGCGCTTGCTCTGGAAGACAAACGCCATGATAACGAACGCCTCCCCGCTCCTCTCTCTCAGCTTTTCTTGCTGAGCTGACCTCAAACAGTACGGAATGCCCCTTTGGCCACTTCGGGTCAGCTGCCCTGGCTCTGTCCCCTCCCAAGATCTTGCCCACCCCAGCCTGCTGGTGAGGGGGGAATGTTGGAGAGACAGCCTGGATACTGTGCCAGCACTGCCCAGCAGCAGCCAAAACGCTGGTGTGTGGTCGACACCGTTCTGGCTACCAACACACAGCCCAGCACTGGGAGGGCTGCTATGGGGAAAGCTAACTCCACCTCGGCCAGCCCCAGTTCAGATGTTCGTCTCCCACCAGCTTCCCCATCTCTTTTTTGACCCATCAGCCCAATGGCTATGAGTATTGCAATAAGACACCAAGCCTCTACGCTGAATTTATTAATTTCCTTTATTTATATATAGGAAAGGCAATAAAACAATACAATAGTATACGCCAGAGATTTGATCCCAAGTGTCCTCTCTAGTAGACTTTCTGCTCACATTATCCATTTCAATGTCTGTGCTTTGCCTTTTCCTCCACAGCAACACAGTATTCCCACCCCGATACCCCACGGTCAGGATTAGGCCCTGCACCCAGGACCTAAGGCACAAGTCTCTGCCACTTGAGCTAGAGAAATCTCTACTACAGTGCGAGGGAGGAGCAGGCGGGGACAATGCCTGGGGAGGGACATGGGAGGAAGCCACGGTCCTGTAGATGCGTGGCCTGGGGCTTGGGTTGGCCTCCTGCCACCAAAATCAGCCCCTGTCCCATTACTGATTTATACAATACCTTGGTTTACATCGTAGTATGTTTTTATATTGGGTTGATATAGCTGGTTGGGCTACTCTCCTTGCAAATCAGAGTGGGTTCAGGGGGGCTCTGTCATTTGCTGCTCAGTTCAAGGTACCCCAAAGGAAAGCCCAAGTTTTAAAGGGCAGATCCAGCCCAGAAAGCCATGAGATGACAGCAGCAGAAAGAGGCTAACCGAGTCCTAAAGACACCTCTGGAAAAACAGCTGTGTGTCTGGGCCTGCTGTGTACACCAGCAGTGTCCAGTGGTCACCAGTAACACAACAGGGCTTCTCTGGAGGCCAAAAAAACGCCGTCTGAACCAGGACAGTCTCTCCTGGCTGGACGGATTTGTGCCCCTCGGTCTCTTTCGCGTGCTTTGCAATGCTGCATAAAACCTCTCTGGTTGACCTGCCACTGCTCGCTGTCACCAAGCAGGCTTGCAAGCTCACCGCCCCACCAGATCAGCATTACCATGCTGGTCACTCAGCATTTTTCAGCCTTATCAGCCTTTTTCTACCTTTAAAGGTGTGCTAAGGCGGGTTCTCAAAACCACATTAAAAAAACCCAAACATCCAAGCAGAGGTCCCCCTAAAACCACAGGAACTCAGGACTCAGCAACCACAGGAAGGGCTGCAGACAGGAGGTGCACAGGACATCTCCGTCCCTGAGGCCCCGCAGGGTCTGCCTTCATCCCCATCCCTCTCCCCATCCCCTCCCCAGGCTGGTGGCATGGCTCACAGCAGGCAAGACACGGCTACGCTGAAGCAAAAGGGCACTTTTCCGAGCTGCCGGCAGCTGCTCATCTCTGCGTTAGCTTAGTTACATTAAGGCGTGAAGACCAAGTGCATAGGAAGCGGCGGGACCCTCCAAGCATCTCCAAATCAGCCCCTGAGTCCTTTTCCATTGAAATGTTCCCCACATCCTCCTCCAAGATGCTTGCTGTCATCAGGGGGAGGAAGAGGAGCCCCCAGCTTTGGGTTGGCCCCATGGGCATTGACTATCTGGTTTAACCCGTTGGCTAGAAGACAAGTCCATGAAAGGAGCCAGATCCACCCCCGCCGGCCGCTGGGCTGCAGCCCCCCGACGAGCTGTCATCATCCTTGTCCCTGTCCAAGTCTCTCCACCACAGCGGGGATTTCGGCAAGGCGGAAATGTAGGCGGCTCGGTTCCTTGCTTCTTTTTCCTGCTCCTGGGAGAAGGAAGGGAAAGAAATAACACAAGGATATCTGCGGCTAAATGACCCAGGTGGGGAGATGCTCCCACCTTCCCCAAGGAGCCAGGAGCCTGTTTGGTTGCCCCTGGAGCCTCCTCCAAATTAAACCGGGGTGAGAAGGCCATGTGCTCGTCTCTAGAGCTCGGTGGGAGGGATGCAGCAAAGCATTGCATCTCTCCAGTGATCAAAAAACAGCCATTCCACATCACCCCTGGGAGAGGAGGGACCCCTCAAATTCCCCCGGGTGCTGCTCCTCTCCTACAGGACACTGCTGTTTACAAAGAGCTGAACTCTACCGGTTGAATGAAACCTGTTCTAGTTTGTATTCCCAGCTCACCCATCTTTCCCAGGCACATACATAGGAGAAAATTTCGGGCAGAGCTGCCTCGGGCGAGCAACAGCAAAGTCACACACAAAATCACACAGAATCGTTAAGGTTGGAAAAGACCTTGAAGATCATCAAGTCCAACCGTCAAGTCAACCCTAAGCGCAGCCATCAGGTGTCTTCCACCAACCTCAACGCCCAACTTCATCGGGAAACCGCAATCTGTTTATACCTGGGTGCTAAAAAAGGAAAAGGGATTTGGCTTCAGGGACTGGGCGGGTACCTGCATGCACGGGTTTATCCGCAGGACGCGAGCCTGCTGCTGCCCGCATGGGTGGGAACGTGGCCCGTGAGCTGGGCAGCCACAAGGTCGCACGCTGCTGTGCACGGCAGCGGGAGTTACCTGCAAGTAGAGGATGTTATCTTTGGAAATGGCTTCCATCAAGTCCTTATGGAGGGAGGGTTCGCCGTGCAGGCGGCCAGCCTCGGCCAGAGCCTCATGTAGTAGGCAGCTCTGCCTGCCCGGCCGCTGCCTGTAGAAGAGGACGTAGGCAGTGTCCTTGGGGAAGAAAGAGGTGACGTTGCTGACCGATTCGAAGGAGGAGAAGGAAACTCTGGTGTCGTTAAAGAGGTACCACTGGATTTCGAAGTCCAACTGCTTGTCGGAGGCCGGTTTCGGTGCCCGGTCCCGGGCCTGCCCGTGGGGGATGTTGTCAGTGCACTCCCTGGAGTAGCAGTAGTAGTGGCCGCTCTCGGAGGAGACGCCTGAGTGCACCACCACACTGCAGAGGTCATACACGACAGACATGAAGCCACCTCCCGGGGCACCCCTGTCCTTCCCATGCTCACTTTCCTCTGGGGCAACAAGGACAGGCAGCTTGAGCACCACAGGGATGGAGACGTTGTCCAAGATCTTCTTCCTCTTCATAGTCTGTGGGTCAAAGGAGAACCTCAGCAGCGTGAGGATGAGGTAGTGTGGACCCTCCGTCAGCTCTGCCACCTTCTCAGCATCCTGCAAGGATGCACATTTCTCACAGTGGTATTTATTCTCTGCTGTCAGTCTCTCTGGGGATAGAAAATAGTTGATTAAATCCGGGACGGATCTGGAGTCCTTGGGAGCACATGCCTGCTCCCCGAAAGCCGGGTGTTTGGTTGCATCCACGTCAATGGCATCGCCACTGAAGGGATTTGCCACTTCTCCTGGCTCCTGGAAACCCAGTGTTTCCACCGGCATCGGCAGGGTTGTAGGGTCTCTGGCCATGGGGGCCTTCCTCGGGATCCAGGGAGACCCCGTAAGCTGGCTTCGGTCTTCAGGAGGCTCAATAAACTGTGGGCCGATTTCTTCCACCGGTAAAACAGACGTGCTCCCACGCACGTGCCTGTCTGGTGGGGGAAAAGCCAGGGACAGGTCTGTGAAGGCTTCTTCTCGGGAGGAGACATTCAGACACTTCAAGCAGCGGATCTTTGTCATCATTTTACCCCCAAACATCTTCTCAATCAACGTCTTGCTTAAATAATGATGCTCCATTGCCTGAGACATCAAGCTGGATTCCTTGAGTTTCTGGTAGATCCTTTTTCCAGTTTTTTCTTCTTCATGTAATCTTTGGCAGGGGAAAAGAAAGCTGCGTTATGCACCGATAAAACACCAAGAAGTAGTTTCTAAAGTAGTTTCTGTTCTTCACTCCAACGGGTTAATCTGGGTTATCCTGCCTGTGCCCAGGGTGCTGCAGGAGAGGAGGAGTTGGGCAGGATTTGGGAACCTGAGGTCTCCATGTGCCATCGACCCCCCACTTCTAGAGGGATCACTGGGACACCAGAGATTTGGGATTTCTAGGTAAAAGAAAGGCAAAAATCAATATTTTACAGAGGCAGCTGAGTGGCTTGTCAGGTACATCTCTAAACTTGGTAGAATTGCCTTCAGAGGAAAGGCAGAAATTTTCAAGCTGAACTACGTTTTGCCCTTATGCCTAAGCGAGCCCAAACAGGGTTTTATCAAGGAGCCCTGGACCGATCTCGTCATCTTTCACCCCAAGCCTCCACTCTCCCAGCTCCTCCGGGTCTCAGCCACTTGCCCCATTTGCAGGTGGGTCAGTGTTAAACATTACGTCAGGTCCAGGGACGCCGTTGTCACCAGGCGCCGAAATCACGGCGCTTACCACGTACCGGTCCAGCAAGTACTTGAGATACTCGGAGCAGTCCTGCTGGGCGCCGGGAGTGAACCAGGGTGGCCAGGAGGCAGAGAGGAAGCTCTCGGGTGAGATGGCAGGTCGCTGGCAGCAACACAGAAGAAGGAGAAGTGCTTTTAACCCGGGGGATCTGGTTCTCATTTCACACAGGGGGGTGGAGAGGGAAGAGGAGGATCTTTCTGGTTGCTTCACTGGGAGCAGGGTGTGCTTGTGTGCCTGATACGGTCCCCTTTTCTTCCCCTACAAGGGCTAATCCCAGTGCACGGGAAGATTTTCTTGGTTTGCTGCAAGCCAGGACTGTAACGATTAATTTTGGCCATTATTTTACATATACTTCTCCAAAATATCCATGTGTTTATTTCTTCCTTCAATTTTAAAATGGTTTATTGGCCTGACCCAGAGAATTCTACTTAATTCAGCCTGAATTTAATTTGATGCTCCATTTAATTTGATCAGGATCCCTCTCACCAAATCCCTTTTTCAAAAAGAAAAAAAAAACAAAGCAAAAAATCCACTCAACTTCCACCCGTCATTCTGATCACTGCAGGCAGGTAATCTGCATTACCGGATAATGTAATCACTGCCGTTAGGAAGCTGCTGTCTAATTAACATGGAAAAAGACCCATCTTTGGCAAAGAAGTGACTTTAAGAACAGCCTGAAGAAGAAAAATAACTAGAAGCTATTAGGAAATTAGCAGGAAACTATTAACCATAAAGTACACAACAAGCAAATATGCTTCTATATTTGCTCATCACAGATCACAGACACCCTAACCTGCCATCAAAAATTAGACTCTTCTATAACCAAATATTAAATTTAACAGGTTGTCTATATTTTTCCCCCCAAAGTCATCCGTAATGACATAATACCACAATGCAATAAGCCAGCTCTGTCAGTCAAGGCTTGGAAAATGGAGAAGCCCAGATGACTGGTTTCACAGCAAGGGAAAATTCACTGGACTTTCAAAATCATGTCTTTCTAGGGACAGAAAGATGTATTTTCAGGGGAGGAGCTAGATATGACCTACCTGTATCTCCAGGAGTCACTCATATTAAATTTCATGTTTGTCAAGAAAGCATTCATAATTGATTTGCTTAAGGGTGTTACTTTTATTTTATTTTCCCTCACATACAGAGCATTCAAGGCATCTGGAATCTAAGGGGGGGTGGTATTATTATACTTTTAACAAAACCACCTTTAAGGCAATTTTCATCGATTCCTTGTGCTGTGGTGTGAAGCAAGGGGACAAGTGAGCTGCTCCAGTCTTCCTTGCTGCACAGCAAGAAACAAAAACCTTTGCTTTATACCAACAGGCTTTTCAGCTGGCCACATATGTAAACTATTACCAAATGGCCTACACTGTCAAAACTATTAGTTATTACATCAGCCCAACCCAAGAGGACCATGGGCCAAAGACAGGCAGCCTGGTGTGAACACAGTTCACTTTCAGGGTGATAGGAGCTTGCCTCCTCCACCCCCAAAATTAGCCTCTTTCATATAAACAAAATCTGTCCCGTTATAAAAACCCACCAAGATCCACAGCTCCTTATCAGCACGTTGGAGTCGGCAGGAAGCTACTTGGAGACGAGCCTTTCCGCAGCCGACAGTCCAAACAAATAACTAGAACATGAAATAATTACCTGACTGTGCTCCAAAAACGCAAAGAGCCACTGGAGCTTTGTCATCAGGGGCTGGGAGTTGCCCTCGCTTAAATTCAACACCGAATGCCGAAAGCTGCAAAAGAAAAGCAGAGACGCAAACAGTAAGATGGAAAATCATCGCAGGACGCGCAAGGCCGGCGTGATGAGCAACCCCTGGAGAAGTCTTGAGTGGGAGCAAGGGAGCAAAAACTCACTCCGAAGCCATGAAAAGAGACTGTAGGATGCTGTTCATGTAGCAGGTGTTTCCCAAGTTAATTAACCCGATCTTTCCCGTCTCTGATTTGGATGCCAGGCGTGGGTAGAAGCAGGCCAGCTCGTTCTTCTGGGAGGTCCAAGCATTTTGTCCCAAGAGATGTTTAATCCGATCTTCATTTGGAATAGGAAGAGCCTTGGAAAGAGAGACTGGTGTTACGAATCGTTATCTTTCCATGCGAAGAATTAGTAGCGGCAGCTGCAAAACTCCTTTGCTAGAGGTGTTCACGCAGCTCATTTCCTCTGCTCTTTGCTTGAACATGCATCCATGCAAGGAAGTGTTTAGCTGCTATTTTTAGGCATTCAAGATTAAAGTTATAGCTAAAACCCACAGGCACAATCAGGACTTCTGCAAGGCCGCTGTAAGAGAAGTATCTTCCCTCAACTTGCCTTTGTGAGGCTCAAACTTGGAATTTTAAACCCTTTCTTCTACCACAATTTGAGGTGTTGAGGTTAGGACATCCCTCTGCACTAGGCTGCAAACTAAGATGTCATTTCCATATGGAAGACAGAAAAATAGCTGAGAGGTGCGTGTCTTACTTTAACCGCTTCTAGGACTGGTTCGTAGAGATCTGGAAATCCTGAGAAGCGGAAGAACATGCAGTGGATGAGCTCGGCCAGCTGCTCCAGGGAGCTGGTGGCAGAGTTGGAGTCCTCCTTCTTCAGAGAGGCCACCAGCCTGGGGATGTGAGGGAGCAGCTGGAAAAGGAAAATTCACTACATCAAAAATGGCTCCAAATTACTCGCAGAGCTTTAACACACATGCAGGGGAACGAAATTCACCCGCAGGCAGAAAGGACAGTTAACAGGAGTTGACTTCATTCCCATTCTGGACTTCATCCTTCACCCTATGAACCCAACAGCAACTCTTCTGTTGACTTTAGTAGTGCAAATGCTATAGACTTTAGAGGGTTTCGTGTTGCATGACACCTGCAGGTTGGTGCTGCTGCTTTGCCACGATGCGATTATCGTTCTTTGTGCAGATAAATCTCTACTAAATCACACACCCACGGTGCAGAGGTGCGTTATATGCCGGCTGCCAAGTGTAGGGATTCAAACCTACAAGGCAGATGAATTAGCCTACCAGAAGTGTTGTCGGGTGTGCTATATTTTATTTTGTACTGTATAAACTAAACTGGAATGACTATGGTCGAATGGATGGCGACAGGCACATAAACAGCACACTTGTTATTTTGCTTTCATCTAGAGAATTTAAAAATGAACAAGCAGACGCAAACGCAAATGAGACATTGCTCACGGGCACCCTCTGCTGACCCCGCAGCTGCACAGAGGATTAATAACCTATTTCCAACCCTGCAGATGTGCTAGAGTGACCCTGGGAACTTACGCAACCTTTTTCATATTTATGTTTTATGTTATTTTTTACCCCAGGACAATCCTGGAGTAAAGTATCAGGATCCCCAGTCCAGCTATTTCCTAGCTTTCTCTTCCTCTCTTCATCTTCCTCTCTTCTTTCTCTCTCTCTCTCTCTCCTCAAAATGTTGGGGATTTTAACTATTTCCTGTCCAACAGAAAAGTTTTGCTGGGGAAGCAAATGGATCCCATTACTATTTTACACATCAATATTTTGACAAGTTGTGATGGGAACAATTCTCAAAACCCTTCCAAAGTGCCAGGGCAAATGCAAAAAGGTAAAAAGCAACACAGGTTTGTGCCCTGTTTTTTAAAAATAGGGGAAGAAATTTATGCTCACTGGGCTGCAGATGGAAACTTCAAGCCAAGAGCAACTGACAGCTTTGGAGTGTTTAAAAATTTGGACGCCCAACTGAAGACAATCTGTTGGAATGACCCTATTTTTAGAAACCAAAGAGTTTCTCAAGAAATTCAGGCTCATTTAAAGTGTCTCCAGCTGAGGAATGAAAAAAACACCAGTTGAAAATGTTGGCTAGCTTTGCTTTTTTCCAGTCTTATCTGTTTATTCTGTGAACTTTAGTGAAAAGCCAAATGTAAGGGCTTTAACGAAAAAGTATAAAATCAAACATTAATAGGAGTAAATTTCCAGTATTGCTTTTATAAGTTCAATCACTGCAAGCATGCCTTTGCCTTCAGCCTTGCTTTTTAATTACAGCATTCCAGGGGCAACGCCAGCGAGAAGCAGAGCTGTGCCTTAGTGTCAACAGCAAAATAAGGTATAAAATATCTCTGTGGAAATGAAAAGAGGAGAATCAAATGCTGCTAAAATGCTCCAAGGGGACTCTATTGACAAAGCCTTCTCCCTCCAGCTACAAGAGGCACTGTGCTCACAGCCTCTCGTCCTGCTGGGGGATTTCAACCACCCCGACATCGGCTGGAAAAGGAGCACGGAGAGCTGTAGGCAATCCAGGAGACTCCTGGAGCGCGTGGAGGAAAAATTCCTATGCCAGGTAACAGACAGCCCTACCAGAGGGGACGCAGTACTGGACCTGTTGGTCACCAACGCGTGTGAGCTAATTGATGATGTCAAGACTGGAGGCAGCTGGGCGTGCAGTGACCATGCACTGGTGGAGTTCGCAGTCTTGAGGGATAATGGGGCAGGCAAAGAGTAAAGTCAGGACCCTCAGTTTTAGGAAAATTCCAGCTCTTCAGGGAGTTGGTC